CCGAGATGGGGGGATCACTTGAGGTCGGGAGTCCAAGACTATTCCTGGCCGGGCACAGTGGCTCACGTCTATAATCCCAGCACTTTGGGAGGCCGAGGCGGGCAGATCACGAGGTCAAGAGATCGAGACCATCCTGGTCAACATGGTGAAACCCCGATTCTACTAAAAATACAAAAAATTAGCTGGGCATGGTGGCGCGTGCCTGTAATCCCAGCTACTCGGGAGGCTGAGGCAGGAGAATTGCCTGAACCCAGGAGGCGGAGGTTGCGGTGAGCCGAGATCGCGCCATTGCACTCCAGCCTGGGTGACAAGAGCGAAACTCCATCTCAAAAAAAAAAAACAAAAAAAAAACAAAACCAGAAAACACCAATTTCTTCCCCATTCCAGGGTACTCCTAACTAGACCACAAGTTCCCTGCTGAAAGAAGATCGTCCTTACATTGCCCCAGTTGCTAAGTGTATGTACCATGATTTGACGGCCCTTTTCTATCCCTTTAGGTATCAGTGGTATTTATATCAAATGAAGAGAAAGATCACAGAAGAAACCGAGGAAGGGAGAAGGAAGGCTCGCAGGTGAGCAGACGGGAGCTCCCTGCCGACCAAGAGGCTGCGTCTCTGAAATGCTGGGAAACCCATGGACACAAACTCCCACAGACGTTGGTACCCAGCAGACGCGAGATTCCTGGCTATACTTAAAAAAAACAGAGGCCGGGCCCAGTGGCTCACGCCTGAAATCCCAGCACTTTGGGAGCCTGAGGCGGGCAGGTCATGAGGTCAAAAGATGGAGACCATCCTGGTCAACATGGTAAAACCCTGTCTCTACTGAAAAAATAAAAAAAAAATACAAAAATTAGCCAGGCGTGGTGGCACATGCCTGTAGTCCCAGCTACTCGGGAGGCTGAGGCAGGAGAATCGCTTGAACCTGGGAGGCGGAGGTCGTGGTGAGCTGAGATTGCGCCATTGCACTCCAGCCTGGTGACAGAGAGAGACTCTGTCTAAAAAAAAAAAAATATATATATATATATATCCCCACAGCAGACAATATCATTGAGTATTCTGCCTGTTGTGGTATGAATTATGCAATGTCTCTGTGAAGAAAAAAAAGCAAAAATAAAAATAAACATTTCTTTCTTTTCTATAGACAGGGTCTCATAAGTGCAATGGTGCCATCAGAGCTTACCACAAGGCCGGGCGTGGTGGCTCACGCCTGTAATCCCAGCACTTGGGAGGCCGAGCGGGCGTATCACCTGAGGTCGGGAGTTCGAGACCAGCCTGACAACATGAAGAAACCCCGTCTCTACTAAAAATACGAAATTAGCCAGACATGGTGGCGCGTGCCTGTAATCCCAGCTACTCAGGGGGCCGAGGCAGGAGTATCGCTTGAACCCAGGAGGTGGAGGTTGCGGTGAGCTGAGATGGCGCCATTGCACTCCAGCCTGGGCAACAAGAGTGAAACTGTCTCCCAAAAAAAAAAAAAAACCACTTCCTGCAGTCTCGACCTCCTGGGCTTAAGCGATCTTCCTGCCTCAGCCTCCTGAGTGGGGCCACACCACCGCCACGCCCTGCATTTTTCTTGTTGTTGTTTTTTGTTTTTTTGAGACAGAGTCTCACTGTGTCGTCCAGGCTGGAGTGCAGTGGAGTGATCTCGGCTCACTGCAACCTCCACCTCCTGGGTTTGAGCAGTTCTCCTGCCTCAGCCTCCCAAGCAGCTGGGATTACAGCTGCAGCTACCATGCCTGGCTAATTTTTGTACTTTTAATAGAGACGGGGTTTCACCATGTTGGCCAGGCTGGTCTTGAACTCCTGACCTCCGGTGATCTGCCTGCCTCGGCCTCCCAAAGTGCTGGGATTGCAGGCATGAGCCAGCATGCCTGGCCAGTTTTTCTTTCTCTTTTTGTTTTTTTAAGAGATGGGGGTCTCAGTATGTTGCCCAGGCTAATCTCAACTCTTGGGGTCAAGTAATCCTCCCGCCTTGGCCTCCCAAAAAGCTGGGATTACAGGTGTCAGCCTCTGCTCCCAGCTGTGATTCTTGGCTATTCTGAGAACAGGCACCTCTTACTACAGAGAAACACATAGGAATACCTTATTATTTTTTTATCTTGCTGTCTCCAGGCTGGAGCGCAGTGGCGCGATCTCGGCTCACTGCAACCTCCACCTCCCGGGTTCAAGCGATTCTCCGGCCTCAGCTGCCCAAGTAGCTGGGATTACCGTTGTTCGCCACCACGCGCAGCTAATTTTTGTATTTTTAGTAGAGACAAGATTTCACCGTGTTGGTCAGGCTGGTCTCGAACTCCTGACCTCAGGTGATCCACCCGCCTTGGCCTCCCAACGTGCTGGGGTTACAGGCGGGAGCCGCCGCACCTGGCTGAGGTTCTGGAATATTGAGGTGCCGGCTTCAGCAGTCCTCTGCCCGCCTGGACGTGGAGGGAAAGGAGGCTCTCCACCTCCCACGCCAGCCTGACTCATTTTCAAGGAGACCGACTGCTTCAAGGCGTTCTCTCTCTCCCTCAAGCCCCACGCTCTTTTCCGTTCATTCTTTTAGCCTCATTCTGGCTTCCAGAACGCTCTCAGATTGAGATTTTTCTGGAACTGCAGATTCTTTTTTTTTTTTTTTTTTTAAAGACAGTCTCACTCACTCCATTACTCAGGCTGGAGTGCAGTGGTGCAATCTCGGCTCACCGCGGCCTCCCCCTCCCGGGTTCAAGTGATTCTCCTGCCTCAGCCTCCCGAGTAGCTGGGACTACAGGTGTGTGCCACCACGCCCGGCTAATTTTTGTATCTTTAATAGAGATGGGGTTTTGCCATGTTGTCCGGGCTGGCCTCAAACTCCCGACCTCAAGTGATTCACCCACCTTGGCCTCCCAAAGTGCTGGGACTATAGACGTGAACCACTGCGTCCAGCCTGGAGATGCTTTTCAGGTGGAACAGGTCTGGTCTTTCTGACTGAGCCTCACCCGTTAGTTTCTGTAACTGACACTTGGGCATTGTGTCTGGGAGGCGGGTGAAGTCCTTGCTGTGAACGGGAGAGGGATGAGCAGCTATCTCTAGCCAACAAATCAGTCACATATGTCAGCAAATTCCCACAGCTTCCTTTCCATGTAGTTTTTTTTTTTTTTTTGAGACGGATTCCAGCACTGTCACCCAGGGGGAGTGCAGTGGCGTGATCTCAGCTCACTGCAACTTCCACCTCCCAGGTCAAGTGATTCTCCTGCCTCGGCCTCCTGAGTAGCTCGGATTATAGGCATCCGCCACCACCCTAGCTAATTTTTTTTAAAAATATTTTTAGTAGAGACCGGGTTTCACTACGTTGGTCAGACTGCTCTCAAACTCCTGACCTCGTGATCCACCTGCCTCGGCCTCCCAAAGCGCTGGGATTACAGGCGGGAGCCACCGCGCCTGGCCTTTTGTCTTCTTTTTAAATAGAGACAGGGTCTCCCTCTGTCTCCCAGGCTGGAGTGCAGTGGAGTGATCCTGGCTCACTGCCACCTCCGCCTTCTGGGCTCAAGGAATCCTCCTGCCTCAGCCTGCCAAGTAGCTGAGACTACAGGTGCACACCACCATGCCCAGCTAATTTTTTTTTTTTTTAGAGAGAGGGGTCTCACTATCTTGCCCAGGCTGGTTTTGAACTCTTGGGCTCAAGCAATCCACCCAGCCTCAACCTCTGAAAGTGCTGGTATTGTAGGTGTGAGCCACCACACCTTGCCCCTGAGATTTCTTATTCCATCTGGTGACCAGCACTCATACCCCAGTATTTATTAGGCGCTGACTGTATGCCAGGCACTGTCGTTAGGTTGGGATACAGCAACGAGCTATAACTAAAGACCCCTGCCCTGTGGGGAGACAGTGTAGACAACATGTCCCCACTGCAAACATTGAGCATAAGGGCCGGGCATGGCTCCTGCCTATACTTCCAGCACTTTGGGAGGCCGAGGCAGGAGGATCACCTGAGGTCAGGAGTTTGAGACCAGCCTGGCCAACATGGTGAAACCCCATCTCTTCTAAAAATATAAAAATTCGTGTGGTGGCATGTGCTGGTAATCCTGGCTAGTCTGGGCACTGAGGCAGGAGAATCATTTGAACCTGGGAGGCGGAGGTTGCAGTGAGCCAAGATTGCGGGACTCTGTCTCAAAAACAAAAAAAAAAAAAAATTCAGCATATTAGGGGGAGGTGGGTGTCTCCTAAAGGCTGCTGATAAATCACCATTCTGGCTCAGCCTCCCGAGTAGCTAGAATCACAGGCATGTGCCACCATGCCCAGCTGATTGTAGGTTTAGTAGAGACGGGGTTTTGCCAAGTTGACCAGGCTGCTCTCGAACTCCTGACGTCAAGTGCTCCATCGGCTTTGGCCTCCCAAAGTGTTGACGTGAGCCACCACACCTGGCCAGAATATTTAGAACTCTTAAAATAGTGTAGGGGGCCAGGCGCGGTGGCTCACACCTGCAATCCCTGCGCTCTGGGAGGCCGAGGCAGGCGGACCACCTGAGGTTGGGAGTTTAAGACCAGCCTGACCAACATGGAGAAAGCCTGTCTCTACTGAAAATACAAAATTAGCCTGGCATGGTGGTGCACGCCTGTAATCCCAGCTACTAGGGAGACGGAGTCTGGAGAATTGCTTGAACCCGGGAGGCGGAGGTTGCTGTGAGCCGAGATTGTGCCACTGCACTCCAGCCTGGGCAACAGAGGGAGACTCCATCAAAAAACAAAACAAATAGGGTAGGGGTGGGCTTCCTTTGGAGGTTCGGGGCAGGGAGGACAGAAACGAATCTTTGCAATTGAGCAAATACCCACGCTGTGGCTGGCCTGGACTATCCACTGTGAGGCCACAGAGCAGACTCGCACACAGGGCCTCAGCCCTCTCAGAGGGTGTGGCAGGTGAGGACGCGCAGGATGGAAGCAGGCGGCCTCGGGCCGTTCCCACTCAGAGACGGTCCGGCTCCTGCGTCCACCTGGAGACTCCGGGCCTGCTCCCACTAAGGTTGGCGCAGGGATGGGGAAGTCCTACCTGGGAAGATCTTCGTCCTGCCATTCCTCCTTCACGTCCACGTTTTCCATCCGGAGTGTGGCTTCGGTGGTCCCCATGGGAGCTGGGAAGAGGCGCCGGCTTGAAGCAGGGATGAGCCCTGAAGGGAAGCCACAGAGGAATGGGTTTTACTGGTCAGTAATCCTAATGGCAGTGCCCTGCCTTATTCCTTGTTACTTCCTCCTCCTCCCCCTCCCCCCCTCCTCCCCTGCCCCCTCCTCCCCCTCCTCCTCCCCCTCCTCTCCCTCCTCCCCTTCCCCCTTCCCCTCCTCCTCCCCCTCCCCTCCTCCTCCCCCTCCCCCTTCCCCCCTCCCCTCCTCCTCCTCATCCTCCTCCCCCTCCTCCTCCTCCTTTCCCTCCTCATCCTCCCCCTCCTCCCCCTCCTCCCCCCTCCTCCCCTCCCCCTCCTCCCCCCTCCTCCCCCTCCCCCTCCTCCCCCCTCCTCCCCTCCCCCTCCTCCCCCCCTCCTCCTCCCCCTCCCCCTCCTCCCCCTCCGCCTCCCCCTCCTCTTCCCCCTCCCCCTCCTCCTCCTCCCCCTCCTCCCTCCTCCTCCCCTCCTCCCCCTCCCCTCCTCCTCCTATTCCTCCTCATCCTCCTCCCCCTCCCCTCCTCCGCCTCCCACTCCTCCTCCTCTTCCCCCTCCTCCTCCCCCTCCTTCTCTTCCTCCTCCTCCTCCTCCTTGTCTTCTTTTTTGAGACAGAGTCTCACTCTGTCACCCAGGCTGGAGTGCAGTGACATGATCTCAACTCACTGCAGCTTCCACCTTCCAGGCTCAAGCAATTCTCCCACCTCAGCCTCCCAAGTAGCTGGGATTACAGGCACCTGTCACCACGCTTGGCTAATTTTTGTATTTTTAGTAGACACGGGGTTTCACCATGTTGGCCAGGCTGGTCTCAAACTCCTGACCTCAAATGATCCACCTGTCTTGACCTCCCAAAGTGCTGGGGTTAAAGTCGTAGCCACTGCGCCCAGCCTCAGTTCCAGTGTTTTTTTTTTTGAGACGGAGTTTCGCTCTTGTTACCCAGGCTGGAGTGCAATGGTGTGATCTCGGCTCACCGCAACCTCCGCCTCCTGGGTTCAGGCAATTCTCCTGCCTCAGCCTCCCGAGTAGCTGGGATTACAGGCACGCGCCACCGTGCCCAGCTGATTTTTTGTATTTTTAGTAGAGACGGGGTTTCCCCATGTTGACCAGGATGGTCTCGATCTCTTGACCTCGTGATCCACCCGCCTTGGCCTCCCAAAGTACTGGGATTACAGGCGTGAGCCACCGCGCCCAGCCTCAGTTCCACTTTTTAAAGCACCTAGGGGCCAGGTGCAGTGTGCTTGCCTGGAATCTCAGCGCTTTGGGCAGATTGCTTGAGACCAGGGGTTCGAGACCAGCCTGGGCAACATAGCAAGACCCCAGCTCTCAAAAAAAAAAAAAATGCAACTAACCAAGCATGATGGTGGGTGCCTGAGGTCCTAACGATTCAGGAGGCTGAGGTGGGAGGATCACTTGAGCCCAGGAGATCAAGGCTGCAGTGAGCTATAATTGTGCCACTGCATTCCAGCCTGAGCAACGGAGACCCTATTTCAAAGAATAAAATACAAAATAAAGCATCTGGCCGGGGGGCAGTGGGTCACACGTGTAATCCCAGCACTTTGGGAGGATCGCTTGAGCACAGGAGATCAAGACCAGCCAGGGCAAGATAGCAAGACCCTGTCTCAAAAAAATAAATGAATAAAGCAACGAAGGCCCCCGATTCACAGCCCCCCGGCTGCCCCTCTGGAGTAGGTCACCCGCAGCGCCCCCAGCGTGGATGTCAAGTTTGCATCGGGCACCTTGGCTCCGGAAGGGAGGACCTAGAGGCAGATGAGGAAGTGGGGGGAGGGGACGGCTAAAACTAGACCCTCCCCCGTGCAGGGTGAGAATTTCTCACTCGATTCTCTGTCCTCGATGTCGTCATTCATTCTTGGAGGAGGGACAGTAACACGCAGCATGGGGGGAAAAAAAAATCCCTCCTGCCTGCCACGCGGTGGGGGCGGGGGTGGCGGCAGGCAGCCAGGCCCTTCCCGAGAGGGTAAGTTCTCCACGGCCGTGGAAACGCATTTGCTCTCTGGAGGGAGGGGTCTTCGCCTCTGCCTTCCTCTTTCTGAGCTGGGTGTGACCGCAGCCCCCAGGAACACTGCCCCGGCCCCGCCCTCGGCCCCCAATCCTCTGGCAGCTGCAGCCACAGGCGTTGACTCCACAACCTTCTAAACATGGGGTGTGGTGGGTCCCCAGTGGGTGTCCCGAGTGGGCCCGGGACACTCCTGCATTCAGACCCTGGCTTCGGATTTGGGGATGGCAAAGAAGGCAGTGACATCAAGGAACACGAGTGATGCGCTCATTTGAGCCCTGATGTCTCATTATCAGCAAATCACATAGCAGTTTCAATGAAGGAGGAGGCATCTGTGTCTTACACCACAAAGCACCCCTTCCTCCCCACCCCACAGGCGAGCCTTGATGGAGACACTTAGAGAATATATATATATATATTTCCCCCACCCCCACCCCCCAGATCGGCTGCTGGTGGCCTTCCCAGCGTTCTAAACAGGAAACAGGGCTGGGATGGGTCTGTGTCAGCGTCCCAGAGAGAAGCTGAGCTCTGCATCCTCCCCAGCTGTCAGGGAGACCTGGAAATGGTGCACATCTCTGCCTTCCAAGGCAACGGGGCGCGCGGAAGGTAAACTGCGCTGCTGGGTGCCGGTCAGCGAACGGGTATCCCTGGGTCCCGGGAAAATGGATGTGGGGGCCTTGAAGGAGTTCCCAGACCGTGGCTCTCCGCTCCCACCCGCCCCATCTGCTGGAAAGGGGACTTGGAGGCGGCAAAGGCTGCCGGATAAACCTTCCCGGGAGACGGTTTGGCCCGGGAGGGGAGGGGACGGGAGGGGAGACGCGCGCACTCACCTCTGCTGCTGAGACAGCCTCTCCTCCTCACTGGCAGACAAAGGCGAGTCCTGCCCGGGTGCGGCCGGGCATCCCTCAGGCTCCCCAGGCCTGCAGCGCATCGGAGGGAGAGGCTGCTGGCAGGGGCGGGTTTTGCATCCGAGGAAGGTCACCCAGGGCGACGTGGCCAGCGCCCCTCCGAAGCTCTTTCGTGTGTGCAGGGCTGCGGGGTGCGGGCTTAGCGGTGGGCTCCCCCGCGCGCGGCTGCGGCTGCGCCCCCTGTCATCGCCGCCCGCCCGCCCGCGCGCCCTGCCTGCCTCCGAGGTGTCCGTCTGCTGCTTCCCAGCTCGCGGCTGGCACAGGCTCGGCTTCCCGGAGACAGTTAATGTATGCTGCTCCCGTGTGCAGCGGGGAGGGGGTGGGGGCAGGCCTGACCGAAAAGCACAGCCCCCCCCCACCCGCCCCCACCCCCCCCGCCAGAATCCGGTCCTCTCCATTGGCTGAAAGACAAGCCTCTCCCAAAGCCACTGCAGAAGCACAGGAAGAAATGATTTTCTGATGGCGTATCACAGATTTAAAAAACAAAACAACCGCCGGGCGCGGTAGCTCAGGCCTGTGATCCCAGCACTTTGGGAGGCCGAGGCGGGTGGATCACGAGGTCAAGAGATCGAGACCATCTTGGTCAACATGGTGAAACCCCGTCTCTACTAAAATTACAAAAAAATTAGCTGGGCATGGTGGCACGTGCCTGTAATCCCAGCTACTCTGGGAGGCTGAGGCGGGTGGATCACGTGAGGTCAGCAGTTCGAGACCAGCCTCACCAATAGGGTGAAACCCCTAAAAATACAAAAATTAGCTGGGCATGGTGGCGCGTGCCTGTAATCCCAGCTACTCGGGAGGCTGAGGCAGGAGAATTGCCTGAACCCAGGAGGCGGAGGTTGCGGTGAGCCGAGATCGCGCCATTGCACTCCAGCCTGGGGAACAAGAGCGAAACTCCGTCTCAAAAAAAAAAAAACAACCGACAGATAAATACAGGCGTGGCGAGGTGGCCTCGTTCCTTAGAGAACGGGGAAGGTCTTCTTGGCACTTCTCCTTGCAGAGGGAACAGGGGTGAGGGGTGGCGTCCCCCAAAAAGTCTGAGCAGGCAAAGAAATGACTGTCCCCAGGCCAGGTGTGGTGGCTCATGCCTGTAATCCCAGCACTTTGGGAGGCAGAGGTGGGAGGAGCACCGTAGGTCAGGAGTTCGAGCCCAGCCTGGCCAACATCCTGAAACCCCGTCTCTGCTAAAAATACAAAAATTAGCTGGGCCTGGTGGCTGGCGCCTGTAATCTCAGCTACTCAGGAGGCTGAGGCAGGAGGATCACTGCAATCCGGGAGGCGGAGGTTGCAGTGAGCCGAGATGACGCCACTGTATTCCAGCCTGGGCAACAGAGGGGGACCCCCATCTCAAAAAAAGAAATGACGGTCCAGGGCACTGTGTCGTGGGTCCATGAGGTGGTCACTTAACGTTGATGGAGCCTCGTGCTCTGAACGGGGTGGGTGCAGGGGAGACAGGAATTTCTCAGGCACACTTGCTCTGCAGGGTTGCTGTGGGAAGGGCGCCCCCTGGAGTTGTGCAACGGCGTGGCCTCGCCCTGGAGGAATTCAAGGAGACAGTGGAAGATGGTAGGTGGGGGCCCTGCAGTTGGACTGGAAGTGGGTTTGAACTCCAGCCCAGCCGCTCCCCAGCTGGGGGGCCAGTGAGTGGGAGTGATCTCACCCGTCAGCCTCAGTTTTCCTCACCTGTGAAATGGAGTCACTAGGCCTTTCCCACATGTCATGAGATGATGCATAGACAGCACTCAACCCGGCGCTAGAGCACAGGAAACCCTCTATCTGTGTATGGGTTTCTTTTTTTTGAAGTGGAGTCTCCAGCTCTGTCGCCCAGGCTGGAGTACAGTGGTGTGATCTCGGCTCAGCGCAACCTCCGCGTCCCCGGTTCAAGTGATTCTCCTGCCTCAGCCTCCCAAGTAGCTGGGATTACAGGCACGTGCCACCATAGCAGACTAATTTTGTATTTTTAGTAAGACGGGGTTTCAACACGTTGGCCGGGCTGGTCTCGAGCTTCTGATCTCAGCTGATCCGCCCGCCTCAGCCTCCCAAAATGCTGGGATTACCCGTGTGAGTCTGTCTAGAGGCGACTTTGGAGTGGTGCAGGGTGGGGGACCCTAGGGGAGCCTTCCTGGTGGGGCACAGGGGTGATGACTGCATGCTTGAGACCCCCGAGGAGTGAATGGACTTAGGTGAATTTTAAAAAAGAGGGAGGAAGGTGTATTCTGGACAGACGGGCCCGCCTAGACTGGCATTTCAACAGCCACAGCTTCTCCCCAGTACACGAGGGCCCTGGAGCTGTCCATGGTGCTACAACCACCACCAAGGAGACACGGCATGTGACCTGAGCTCGGTCCCTGTCTGTTTTTTTTTCTTTGAGGCAGAATCTTGCTATGTTGCCTGGGCTGGAGTGCAATAGCATGATCTCGGCTCACTGCAACCTCCACCTCCTGGTTCAAGTGATTCTTCTGCCTCAGCCTCCCAAGTAGCTGGAATTACAGGCACCCACCGCAGTGCCTGGCTAATTTTTGTATTTTTAGTAGAGACGGGGTTTCCCCATGTTGGCCAGGCTGGTCTCAAACTCCTGACCTCAGGTGATCCGCCCACCTCGGCCTCCTAAAGTGCTGGTATTACAGGTGTGAGCCACTTTACCTGGCCCCTGTTTTCATTTCATTTTGTTTTAATTTAAAAAGTAAAAAATTTTAATTTAATTTAATTCTTTGGAGACAGGGTCTTGCTCTGCAGCCCAGGGTGCAGTGCAGGGGTGCGATCATGGCCCACTGCAGCCTCAACTTCTTGGGCTCAAGTGATCCTCCTATCTCAGCCTCCCTGGTAGCTTGGACTACAGGTGTATGCCATCCATCACGCTTGGTTAATTTTTTAATTTTTTTTTGTAGAGATGGGGTCTTGCTATTTTGCCCAGGCACACATACCATACCTAGTGGGTGTGAATGTGTTTGGGGGCCATTATTCCGCTGGCCATCCCTGAGGAATTAGCTTGGAAAGGCACTTAAGGGCTTCATTTTGTAGGATCTTGAAACTTTTCTGAAGGTGAGCTTATAGGAAATTTTCTTGTGGGCCAAGTGCAGTGGGTGACGCCTGTAATCCCAGCACTTTGGGAGGCCAAGACAGGTGGATCACTTGAGGCCAGGAGTTCGAGACCAGGCTGGCCAACATGGTGAAACCACATCTCTACTAAAAATACAAAAATTAGCCAGGTGGGCCCCTGTAATCCCAGCTACTCGGGAGGCTGAGGCAGGAGAATCACTTGAACCTGGAAAGTGAGCCAAGATTGCTTTTGCTTTACTGCACTCCAGCCTTAGCGATGGAGCAAAGCTCCAAGTTGAAAAAAAAAAAATGTGTGTGTGTGTGTGTGTAGTCTGCAAACAGTCTTGCGACTTCCTTTTCGTTCTTTCAACATAACTTAACTATATATATAACTTTTTTTTGAGACGGAGTTTTGCTCCTGTTGCCCAGGCTGGAGCGCAATGGCACGATCTCGGCTCACAGCAACCTCTGCCTCCCCACGTCAAGTGATTCTCCTGTCTCAGCCTCCCGAGTAGCTGGGATTACCGGCACCTGCCACCATGCCCAGTTAAGTCTGTATTTTTAGTAGAGATGGGGTTTCTCCATGTTGGCCAGGGTGGTCTTGAACCCCTGACCTCAGGTGATCTGCCTGCCTTTGCTTCCGAAAGTGCTGGGATTGCAGGGGTGAGCCACCTCGCCCATTGTATATATCATATTTTTATAACAATGCCCACGTACACCCCGCCCACCGCCCACCCACACACACTCACGCACTACACACTTTTCTTTACCTAGTTGTTAATACATTCGGAAAATAGCACATCAAACAGCATCTAGGGCTTTTCCTCATTCTGTGTGACAGCTGCATCTACTCAATTCTGCGGTTTCTTCCGCCAGCCCCTCTTATGAGTGGAGCTTGTGATGTTTCCAGCGTTTTTTGTTGCCCTGTCTGGTTTCAAACTCCTGGCCTCCAGCAATCCTTCCACCTTGGCCTCCCAAAGTACTGCAATTACAGGCACGACCCATGGAGGCCGTCCTCAGCTTTCATCTTTGTTTCTTTTCTTTTCTTTTCTTTTTCTTCTTCTTTTTTTTTTTTGAGACAAGGTGCTGCTTTGTTGCCCAGGCTGCACTGCGGTGGCACGATCCCAGCTCACTGCAGCCTTAACCTCTTGGGTTTAAGTGATCCTCCCACCTCAGCCTCCCATGTAGCTGGGGCCACAGACGCACAGCAACACACTCAGCTAATTTATTGTCTATCTTTCTTTCTTTCTCTCTCTCTCTCCCTCTCTTTCTTTTTCTCTCTTCCTCTCTTTCTTTCCTTTCTCTCTCTCCATTTTCCTTCCTTCCTTTCTTTCCTTCTTTCTCTCTCTCCCTCTTTCTTTTCTTTCTCTTTCTCTCTCTCCCTCTCTTTCTTTTTCTCTTCCTTTCTTTCCTTTCTTTCTTTCTCTCTCCATATTCCTTCCTTTCTTTCCTTTCTCTTTCTCTCTCTCCCTTTCTTTCTTTCCTTTTTCTCTGTCTTCCTCTTTCCTCTTTCTCTCTCTCTCCCCCTATTTTCCTTCCTTCCTTTCTCTCTCTCCCTTTCTCTCTCTCCCTCTTTCTTTCTCTCTTTCCCTCTTTCTTTCTCTCTCCCCCTTTTTCTTTTTCTCTCTTCCTCTGTTTCTTTCCCTCTTTCTTTCCTTTCTCTTTCTCTCTCTCTCCATCTCTTTCTCTCTTTCTTTCTTTCCTTTTTCTCTCTCTCTCTTTCTCTCTTAAGATGGATTCTCCCTATGTTGCTCAGACTACTCTTAAACTCTCAAGAAGCAAATCAAAAGTTCACGATGCCTAAGACCCAAGACTTTCTGTTTTGTTTTGAGACTGAGTCTCGCTCTGTCTCAAATAAGCCTCCCATCTTGGCCTCCCAAACTTCTGGGATTGCAGGTGTGAGCCACAGCGCCTGGCCACAAAAATCTTAAAGTGAGAGCAAACATATTGTGTCTGGCACCACGTGTTGCTTTACATATGTTTATATCTGTCCCTTTGTCACCTGTAATGTAAGCTTCATGTGAGATCAGAGACTCACAATTTTGTCACTTCTTTTTCGTGATCCACTCGCCTCGGCCTTCAAAGGGCTGGGATCACAGATGTGAGCTACTGCACCTGGCAATTCTGTCACTTCTGTATCTTTAATCCCTAGACCAGTGGCTCACCTGGCGGGGGACTGGGTGATCCTGCCCCCAGGGGACACCAGGCTATGTCTGGGGACATTCGTGGTTGTCGCGATTGGGGGAATACTCCTGTTACGGAGTGGGTGGAGGCCAGGGACACTACTTAGCACCCTGGAGTGCCCAGGATGGCCCCACCCCAG